GGAATAAACAAAAGCAATAAAAGCGCATGCGCCATTTATCTCATTTTGGATAAAAAAAATTCGATTTCCCCAGAGTCATGCCACAACCTAACCCGCGAACAGGCATACTCTGGGAACGAGATTGTCCCTTGGGGGACCCCAGCTGTCACGGGAAGCCAATTAGAAAGTGATCTACTAATCTTTACTCGTTGTCTTCGGTTTGTTAGAAAATTGATTATCCATGGAATAAGAGATCTTCTAACACCCAGGTCGATCAGTTTGTCAATAAGAATATTATAGCCGATTCGATCGAAGGCTTTCGAGAATCCGAATTGACAATAGTCAATCCTTCCATTTAGGTCATACAACATCCATTTGACCACGAAGTCTTCCAATACCACATTTACACGGTTACAAGGGTTTTTCAAGTTCTTCTTGAGTTATGAGCTGTTGAAAGCGTTTTTTTAGACTAGTACCCAGGATGTTGCGAGCTTTTGGCTTATTTTTCACATTTGAAACAGCAATAACTCAAAAACCGCTTGAAAATCCAAACTAACGTTTTAAATGTCTTATATGTAGTTTTTTGTTAGCTTTCTATTGATGCAAGTCATTTGTATTAGAAATGTATCAGAAATTTCACATTTTTTAACTGTAATAAAGGTTACTACAAAATTCGAAGAAAAACGTGTCGGCAGGAACCCACAAGAAATTTTAACGCCGCCAACATACAGAAACGTATTTACTAGTCTTCAAGGCACAATATGAAGGCAAAATGGAATTGTCCCACGATATGGTAAGTTTTCCGTAATTCTGATCCTCTATCTGCCTGACTAAAGGTTTGTCGGTAATATGTCGTTTCACTGTTCTAGGAGGGAAAATACGATCGATTGCCTGGGCCAGTTGTGATGTGATGGAAGATGCTAGGTCGTCCACCGTGGCGTTAGGAGCTGCTTCCTCGAACCATTTACCACTTGAGGCCCATCTTCCGAAGGCGTCTATACTAGGTTGAGGAAACCGACGCATCGTATACTTGATGACTTTAGGTTCAGTACAATGGCTAGAATTATTTGAAGAGGGGGCCCATAGTACAATATTATGGTCGGATGATCCAAGCGGTGGTAGGAGTTGTGGGGTTTGATAATACTTCAACAAGTTGGTAATGATGAGGTCAAGGATTGATGAACCTCTAGTGGGGGCTTTGACGACTTGCTTTAAATTATGTCTTGCTGACGGGAGAGATATTTCTAGGTCGTTAAAGTCCCCAAGAAGGATGATACCACAGTTAGGGTATCGGTTGCACAGCAAATCAATGGTGGAAGATAGATATTCCTTTAGTGACTGATGATCGTCCTGGGGTAGGCCAGGTGGATGGTAAACAGCGCAAATTGCTATGCCACAAAGGGGTCTAGGTAAACGAGGGGGCGCAGCCAAAACAACAAGCATTCGAAATTATCATTTTCGAGATTGGTTTAGCGGTTAGCATGGAAAAGCTCGGACAGGTATATGCACACGCCACCCCCTCGGCGATTAGGGCGGTCCTTACGAAAAAGGTTATCACCATGGATTGAAGCAAGGCTATCATCGTCGTCATTAAACCATGTTTCGGTAACTGCCACCATGTCGACTGGGTTAATAGAAAGTGATGCTGTTAACTCGTCTAACTTTGGTAAAAGTGATCGGGCGTTTATTAAAGAAATTTTCGGAAGTATAGTTTTCTTCTTCGGCAGTATTGGTAATTTTTACTTGGATAATATTATTTAAATTGCGCTGAAAACGGCAATTTTTAGGGGGTGGCGACTAGATTAATATGACAGGGATGTCTTGTATAGTAGGATTGGTCTGCGGATCAAAGGTAAGAGACGGGAAGAGGGAAAGTTTGTTCATTGGAGGGCTGGCAGTATCGGGCGTAATTTGTTGTTTCCCAAGAGGTGTCGTACTAGGTCGAGATGATTTGACCAGTCTTTCTCTCGGATGATCTGACCAGTCTTTTTAAAAAAAACCAGTATGTTTAATCATGTAGGTTAAATTAACAAACGCGCCGCATCTTTGGAAAATTTTGATAAAAATAGCAAAGATACACAACAATTACTGCATGATATTTCATTATATATGTAATTGAGTAAATGACGTCACATGGTACAAACAAAATGAAATATCTCAAGAACAAAGCATGGGAACAAAAATCTTTGAAACAAGTTACTATACAGTTTAAGAGCATTTTCGTTTAAGAAAATACAAATTTTAACGAGAGTGCCCCTTTAACGACTACAAGACATGCAGATAAACTACAAGGTTTTGCTGGTTACACATCTTGCATTATTTCGCCTTGGTATATATGGTATACAGTAAAATACGCATAAAAAACAAGTGGGTTAACAACAACCATGCATGCAGCCTGAAATTTAGGCTCTTAATTATGAGCACCCAAAATACAAGAACCACTTCAGGATGACAAGTGACTGGTTCCTAAAAACACATTAGAATGTAGTGTGAGGGCATGCATGTTGTAAACAAACAAGTACGATCGTACTATAGTGGACCAGGAACTGCGTGACCCAGTTTCGATCTTGTGCAAATCGTTAAATGTTCAAAACCTTCGAGATTTTGACTTGATAAACAAATAACTAGACACTTGTAACTCTAATAATTCTCAAAATTGCATGGCAGCGTAGACTGAGTTCGCTAAATGTTTTGCTTTAATTTGGTCACCCCAGATATACTTTATCCGATCCGGTGGCCCAGGATTTTCGCCCCCCCCCACACATTTTTGCCCCCCGGGGGACGAAATTACTAGGAATATCGCCCCCCCCCCCCGGGGGGGGGGCGAAAATCCTAGGAATTTCGCCCCACTTTAGGAAATTCGCCCCCCTTTAGAAACTTCACCTTTACTTTAGGATTTTCGTCCTCCGTTCAAAATTTCGCCCTTCCTAACAGTTGCATGGGATAATTATTACATGGCTTTAATCATTTGAAATCAGTATCAATTCAAAATTGTTAAGACAGAGTTTGAAATAACAACCGACACCGATCAATGATCGCCAAGGAATTGCTTATGATCGGCGGAAAAGCAGGGTTTCGGTTTCCAACCTGAAAAAAGCAGGGAAAGTCATGACTACCGATCACCATGATCAGGAACTTTGGGAACGTTATTTCAAGCCCTGCATGTAAGAATACAAATTTACAATTACATGTATCGAAAGGGCTTACACAGTTACAGTAGATCAATAGGACTTATGACGGTGTAAATCTAGACAAAGCATAGATAACTAAATGCGCAGTTTTCAAAAGTAACTCATATACTCGCATTCGAATTAGATAGATAAGTTAAATGTCCCACAATATTAAGACTAAGGCAGCGTTTACACTGTACCGTTTTCGTAGCGTTCTCGTATTGTTCTTAATCCTCAAGGGAACGCAAGACAATAGTCTAGTTCTCTCGAACAATACGAGAACGCTACGAAAACGGTACAGTGTAAACGCTGCCTAAACATGCCGTGTCTAAATTTAACTTTTGCCGTAACAAATTTTGCCGTGCTGTGCGTGCCATTGCAAAATATTGCAGTACAGTCGTGTACGTGCCGTGTAAACGGGACTTAAGTTAAGCTAACAAATTATCTGAATTGTTGCTATAGGTTAATACAGTTCATTTCGCTTGGTAATGGGTTCATATAACTGCATGCTTGTGCTAAAAACAAATTGACATGTCTTTGTTTTTATGGTTCGCGATTTTCCGGCTATGCATGTATGATAGCCAGATAGGAGCATAGTACTCCTCTGGGCTTTGAGAAACCAAGCCAGCGTGTTAAATTAGTGAACTTAAGTCTTAACGCTTATAATTACTCGTTATAATTAGTCGTCCACATTCTTGAGAAGCTTTAGACTATTGTGATTGTGTTCACAACGAACAATAGAAAAGACAATGTCTTTCTTATCATTTGCGCTTGCTGATACATTTGCTGAATATTAATGATATGTATATATTAATTGCTACGCATACAGTCAAAAATTGCTTGTATTTCGCTTCTAAAGTCAAAAATGAAAAATCGAACACCGTCAATCGATGCGGAATATTGCTTAGAATAATTATGTCAAGTTTCATTCCGATCGGACAAGTAATGACGGAGCCTTAGGGTTTTTTCAAAGAGCGTCGCCCCCTAACAACAACAACAACAACAACAACAACAACAACAACAACAACAACAGCAACAGCAACAGCAACAGCAGCAGCAGCAGCAGCAACAGCAACAGCAACAGCAACAGCAACAGCAACAACAACAGCAACAGCAACAGCAACAACAACAACAACAACAACAACAACAACAACAACAACAACAACAACAGCAACAGCAACAGCAACAACAACAACAGCAACAGCAACAACAACAACAACAACAACAACAACAACAACAACAACAACAACAACAACAACAACAACAACAACAACAACAACAACAACAACAAGATTAGCAGCGATTGGGGACCAGTTCCTGGTCCAATAATTACAAACAGGAACAATATTGTTTTTGCTATAGAAATAAGAACCAGCTAGTTATAAGAGCCAACTCTGCCAGACTAACTAGCTACCTGCTGTATTATATAAGAACCACTTCAACCTGACATAAAAATTAATTCGACAATCGCCGCTGTTTGCATGCGGGGTTGGAATTAGTCGTATACATAATTGTATATATAGTATTAAAAATGACTTCTTCAATTTTAGCAATTAACGGAAATGGGTTAGATGATGACTGGGAAAATAAATTCTCATTGGAGTTGTCTTGGGAGGCACAAAATTTGCTAGGTAATATTTCGCAATTTTTTAAATCAATTGTACTAACAGCAGTTTAGTCAGGTCAGATTGAGAATATAGCTAACTATATAACTCAGAATCTATATAGTTGTTCAACTATTTTTGCTGGAAAAAGGTGTTTAAAAAATATTAACTTATAATTACCACTTGTATGGAGGTATATAGAAGGGTATATACAGCTTTTCAATTAAGGTTGTCCACGAGCGAAGCGGAAAAGTCGAATACGAGCGCGAAAGGCTGCTGGGAATCGCTTTGAAAATTCATTAATTTGTTAACGATTCCCAGCCGCTCGTATTCGACTTTTCCGCTTTGCTCGTGGACAACCTTAATTGAAATAGCTGTATATAGAAGGCCAAACAGAATCCAATGTTATTGTTTGAAAATCTTTACTTCAGCATTTCGATTCAGAAATTCAAACTTGAGAAGGGTTAAATTTAATTAAACACATATTAAATAGAAAAGAAGTCGAACGATAACTTTTTAGGGTCCAGGGACAGGGCAGAAAAGTATCTATATATAACATCTTAAAAAAACCGCATTAATAACTCATGAGGAAAATACAAAAGAAATCATTTACATAAACTTTAGCTTTGATTTTCTCGGCTTAGACGTTTAGTATTAAAATTACTTCGCCAATGAACTCCGATGTTTTTCAGATTCTTAACCACTCGTTCAATCCGCAGACCTGTCCCTACTCCCGCACATAACTGGGGTCTCGAAAGAACGGCATGCCTTCTTTATCAACTATTCTGCATTGCAAATCCATGACAGGAAGGCAGATCACTCGGCGCATCCAGGATGTGACACGGAGAAAGCCATTTTAAAACATTCGCAGTCCGTGCTTTAATTAACAAATATAAAACATTTTCCGTGTTGATATACAGTTATATCAACACGAGTGGAAATAGGGAAAACGAGAAATTGTGTGGAAACACGACGCCCGAAGCAAAGATTAGATACTATAAAGATGTGTCACTCGACGTATTTCCCTAATGTTTGCGTGTCCGTAATTTTCACTTACTGCCAAAATGGCGGCGAGACTGATGGCGTTGGATTTTACTATTTAAGAGACTGATGACTGATGGCGTTGAATTTGACACTTACTGACAAAATGGCGGCTATAAAAAAATCTCGGACATAATTTTCGCAGAGTGACACATCTTTATAGTATCTAATCTTTGCCCGAAGGGCGGAGAAAGAAATTTTCAGACGTTTCCGTGCATGTTGATAAAAGAAATTTTCAGGCGTTTCCGTGCATGTTGATAATGAGTTATATCAACACGGCTGTTAGCCAATCAGCGTTCAGAATTTACAAATGCTATATTATAATATCAGATATAAAACATTCGAACTGCGCCTCGTATAATTTTATATCTGATAAAGCCAGCACTCCTGCTCTGCTACTTAATTGTTGTCTTCTGGACGGCATGCACGCACTGAGGAAGTTTCACAGCAGATTAATCCTTCGCCTGCTCAGTTTGGTCATATATGACCCTGATACAACTGACATGGTCCATCCATTTCTTTTTTTTTTATAAATTAATTTTCCCATGTATAAAAAAAGCTACTTAAAATATATATTACAATAATTTAAAAGATTTTGGGCTAGAGACCTACCAGAAATCTTCATAGACGTTTTATTTCAAGAGACCTACTAGAAATCTTCATGGACAGTTTATTTCTAGAGGCCTATTAGAAATCTTCATAGACTTTTTATTTTTTTCTTTCCTTTGCTACATGCATATACGACCATTAATGTGGCACCTTCACCCCAACCAAGCCTGATTAATACAATTAATTTCGAAAAATGAACCGTATAGGTGTTGTTTCTTAAGCAACTTGCTTTTCTTAAATAGAACGAAATAGTTATCTTGGACTGGAAGACGAATCAGACGAGTTATTCGCCTTGCGCGAAAAGCCAATCAAGGAACATCGTGAGAAACGTGCAGATCTAGAGCTAACGCAATCTGGGGGTAGTGCAGGTGAGTGGGAGTTCATTGCCGATATAACGAGGTTCCATGCATGGATATATATTGATGTTATGCACAGCTAGGGTGTATAATAAATTCTTATTAACCGAACGCGAGGTCTGTATACATGCAGAGAAATATCGGACCGAGGTCTTTTTTGTACAGACCGAGCCCGTAGGGCCAGGTTTGTGCAAAAAGATCGAGGTCCGATATTTCTCTGTACATACCGAGCGAGCGAGGTTAATAAAAAGTTTATTATGTGGCATTTATACTTGAAACAGACAAGAAATGCATGATTTGAAATGCATATATTAGTAGTGTGGTACACATTTGGTCGAAGAAAACAAAAAATACCAATGGCAATATATCCCTTCTTTTCAACTAAAAACCATTCGCAGATATCTTTTAAATAACAAATTAAATTATAATTTTCAAATTTCCAATTAGTTTTGCTGTTTTGTTTTAAAATGCATGTATTTGTCTTTACGTAATGGACCGCCGGTCCACAATACGGGAAAATAATGGACCGCTGAAAGTTCTTCTCAGCCAATCACAGTCCGCCATTTCAACGGAAGTGATCCTTGCCAAATAATAAAAAAGGTAATCCAACTATATTGCATGTTAATTATCTTGCATTATATATAATTATTACGTTTTAATACCATTTATACTTTTTTCATTCAATATATTTGACATAAATCCCTCCTTTTCGCTATTTATCGTCCTATACAAATTGTAATTGTCAAGAGATCTACTAAAACTCTACCGATTGCGACAAATTATATTTCAAGAAATCCAATAATAAATTCATTCGACAGCAAGACTGCAACACATGATAATTTTAATTTATACATGTGTGCGAATTTTAACCTTTTTATTTCTGTCCCATGTACAGTAAATTAGTAAAATCATGACACCATTATTGAATAAGGTCAAGGAGTTAATTTATTGAAAGAGTGAATGAGCACCAGCATATATATATAGTTTATTCTCATAGGCGTATCGGCCGGGGGGGGGGGGAATTTTTACGGTCGGGTCGATTTAGCCGAAATCCACGTGTCATCACTGGTGGCCCAAGCTCTGCGTGGGTATTATTTTTTTTTTAAAAATGTTATATATTATATTTTGCATTAAACATGCACTTTAAATTATAAAGTATAACTTTATAACCTATATTATTCATCATCTAATATTACCCTTTACTAAGTGCACAAATGTAGGCAGCTGTAACGCCGGGCGAACTTGGGCAAGACCTAAATTTCAACAAAACTCGCCGATAAAATATTGCCAAACGCTTCTAAAGCAGCGGCTACGCATATTTATGTTTATTCAATCTTCCTAACTTGTAAAATCCTTTCCCTCGCTTTTCCTTGAAGAATTAGAACAACTTAATATAAACAAAAGCACTTTCTCCGCACTCGTGAGTCGATCTGCCCTGGAACCAAACCGTTAAAATTTGAATTTTTCAAACCTCGTAACCGCACCTCTCGTTACAATATTTCTCCTCAACCCTCCTGATTTATTAATTGCACATTAATAGATCTATGTAGTATGCCCCCACACACGTGACTATCGGCCATTGCTATCCCCGTTTAATAAGTAATGATAAAATATGGTTAATATTTTTTTAACTTTTTGTGCGTTTTTTCTTTCTTTTATTTCAAATACAAGTATAGTTAGCATAAATTTTAGAGCAAATTTGGATGCTCAGAATGCAGGAAATTGCATTTCAGGGCTTCAAATTTCAAAAATTTTCAGGGGGAGTATGCCCCCAGACCCCCCTAGCGATTCATGTGTGGCATGTCGGCCACATGGCTATCCCCCACTAATACATTATCTCACAGAAAGGTCCCTTTTCAAAAAATGCTCCCTCCCACGGGAAAATCCTTGAAAAAGGCCCTGATAAAATCTCGAACAAAGTTGTATATGTGTTCTGTGTAAGCAAAGCGGTCGGGCAAACAAATACTGTCGCCCCCCCTCCCCCAAACAAGATTAGACCCGTACGCCCATGTTTGCTTTTAGTTCATTTGTCCATTTTCCCGAATATTGACTTAGTGGCGGAAGTTTCACATAATTAGAATTGTTATAGTTGACCTTTTCAGGTGGAATCGTGCACCACATTCAATATTTAATTTAACTCTGCCTGAAAGCATCCAGTCAGTCATTTAGACTAAAGCCAACCAATCCTACGTTTCGAGGGAAAACATTTGCATGCATACTAACACAATAATGCACATGAACAGACCCTTGGCCACCAAATCGTCCGGTTCAGGCGGTGTCATGCAAGTAACAAATTATAGATAGACCTTAGTCACCTTACTGCGGTATACTGGATCATAGCCTATCGAAGTTCGGAAGATGGCTGTGAAACTATTAGAATAACAATTTAACTCATTATCTATGTTAGTCAACGTTTTTTCCTAAATCTAGTCCTTCATCGTCACGTGCGTATTGTATTTTTGCCCAACCAACCATAGCAATGTTTTAGCAATTTAGGAAAGTTACGTACCTATTCGTGACTCGAACAATAGAGTAAATTGGAAAACGCTATTGGTGGATTTGGCAAAAACATAATACACACGTGACGGTGAAGGACCGTATTTATGAATAAACGTTGACCAACATATAGATAACGAGTTATATTGTTATTCTAACGAGTTTCATAGCCATCTTCCCGCCACAACAGCCTAATGATTAGCACTGCCTGTTTTCGTGTCTATATATTATACCCGGAATGCCATTGTCGTAAAACTCTTTGAAGTCACGATGGGTAGATTTAACAGTGCACAGTGACTGTAACGGAGTTAATTTGAAGTACATAAATATTATACTAGGGTTGTCAAATATTTCTATCCAAATCTGTTGAGTCCTGTCGAGTTCTATCATGCTAATCAATCACTTATGTGAATGGTATAATGATGCAACAGCGATTACACCAATAAATGGTACAATTAGTGCAACACTAACCACATCAGTTATTATAAATCATTCTACAATTAATGTAACAACGACCATATCATTAAATTAAAATTCGTCTTGTCAACAGATATTGACGAATGTTCATTACCCATCGATTGTTGTGATCCAAATGCTATCTGTCAGAATACTCCTGGCTCGTTTGTGTGTACATGTGGTCCAGGCTTTGTTGGAAACGGGTTCAATTGTTCTAGTAAGTATTCCAGCTTAACACTTCACTACATTTCATTCTACGAAACTGTTGAACAAATAACGTAACTTATTTATTCTATCCAAGACCTGAAACTGAAGAAGCCTCCCAAACTGTGAACAAGACATGTCTATGCTGAATAATGATCGACCTTCATTTTTGTAGTTTCATTCGTCGATAGAAACGACCTTTCAGCCAATTGCAGCTTCTATTAGCTATAGAAGCATCACAAACCAGTGACGCGGTTTGTTTTCAAGATCAAAAGTGACGTCAAATGGCGTGTAAATATCTAGTACGAGCCTAGTTGAGTTTCCTTCACAACTCTTTCTGATATGTGAAACAAATAGAAAACATTGTGCTTATAGTCTGTTCTGTTATAGATATACACAGATACATTAAAGATATACAACGTCACAATCAGTCGCCCACTCGTGGGCCACTTTTTAATTCTTACCACATACATGAGATCATACTGCGTACAGTAACTGAATAGACAACGGCAAAGTGTAATACAGGGTGTCCCCCAAAAAACCAAAACTATTGAAATAACGTATATTGTTAGAATTTGAATGCCTCAGTACTTTGATTAACCCACAAGTGCATCAAAGTTTGACATAAGTAAATTTTATGGATAAAGAAACTGTATAAGAAGCTGCTTTAAATTCTCAAGAGCAGAAAGTCGTGCGTTTTACAAAGATATTTTAATTTCTTAATAAGTCATTAATATTTAACATATGCACCCTGTCAACATTTTACGCATCTTTGCGTTCAGCTTAGTGCTAGGGTATTCGAATTTTAACTGAATACGTTATTTCAATGGTTTGGGATTTTTTGGGGACATCCTGTATATCTAATAATTACATGCTACAGTTAATACAACGGTGACCACAGCAGCGACGACTGGTCCTACGGTTGGTACAACGGTGACCACAGCAGAAACGACTGGTCCTACGGTTGGTACAACAGTGACCACAGCAGCGACGACTGGTCCAACGGTTGGTACAACAGTGACCACAGCTGGAACGACTGGTCCTACGGTTGGTACAACGGTGACCACAGCAGAAACGACTGGTCCTACGCTTGGTACAACGATGACCACAGCAGCCACGACTGGTCCTACGCTTGGTACAACGGTGACCACAGCAGAAACGACTGGTCCTACGGTTGGTACAACGGTGACCACAGCAGAAACGACTGGTCCTACGGTTGGTACAACGATGACCACAGCAGCCACGACTGGTCCTACGGTTGGTACAACGGTGACCACAGCAGCCACGACTGGTCCTACGATTGGTACAACGGTGACGACAGCAGCGACGACTGGTCCTACGGTTGGTACAACGGTGACCACAGCAGCGACGACTACGGCTGGTACAACAGTCACTACAGCAACGACTGATCCTACAGTTGCCATAATACCAACTACACCAGTGACCTCTGCAACAACTGAATTGGTAATTCCAACCGAGAACACGGTTACGTTCGTAATTGTTATTACAATCGTTGATGAGTTCAACGTCGATCTGCAGAACCGCGAGAGTCCAGCTTTCAGAAATACGAGAAGAAGGTTTTTCTTATTCTTGATTCCGTTGTACCAAGGTATACCTGGGTTTATTGGCATTGTCATAATCTCATTCTCTCCAGGAAGTATCATTGCAGATATTAATGTAATATTTAATTCAACCGAAACGACTCCATCAGTCCAGCAAATTCAAGCACCAATTGTGCAAGCGAGGGATAATGGATCTGCTCCGTTCATTATTCAAAATTTAAAAGTTACAGAAAAGGGCGTAGCAGAGGACGAGGATGGTCTTGAACCGTGGGAGATTATCTTGATTGTTTGTCTCATTGTTGTGCTCCTTATCCTAGTTTTGGTTTCGATTTTGGTACGTATTCTTTGCCTTGCCTTTGTATTGCAACTCATACTGCAACTTGATGTACCATTAATTGGGCAATTCCACAAGAGAACTGAGAAAACCCCAAAAAATTAGACCAGGTTTTTTTAGACATGGATTTAGTCAAAACACAGCGTAAAAAAGTGTAAATCACATCCTAGCCATCATCTTTCATTTCGTTCCAGATTATTGTCAATAGGAGAAATAAAAAATGGAAAAGTTATTCAGGTTATAATTACGATGGAAATGACCTCAATTTGGATTATGGTCTTTATTCCTATGATGATGTTGGTACACCTTATTCAACGTCATCGATCTGATCACATTGCGGTAAGAACACATCTCTTATACTAAATAGTAAATATGTTATGCACGCAAGACCTGAAAAGTACCTGTTTTTATTAATAAAGCTTATTTAAAGGCAGGAATTTTCGACTTGCAAGAAAAATGTCGCTGTCGAAATTTTCCCCTCAATTTCTTTTCAATTGTGAGCGGTCAAGTAGAACTTATTTATTCGGATGGTCACAATTCAAAAGAATTCAACCGAAATATGTTCCTGGAAGTGGAAATCCTCCCTTTAGTTTAGTTTCAAAATATGATATATATAAAATCTTGTTACAGTCTGATATCAAGCCCAACCATTGAAATATTTTGACTGAAAGCAGTTTCGATTAGCTGTCCGCCATCTTGGTGCGAGGTTATCTAGTGGGTCTAGAGGCATATTCCCCCCGAAAAGTTTTGAAATTCCTTTAATTCAATTTCAGTTGAGACTGCGTTGTATACATGTCATCATGGATAATAAAATAAATGTATAGGACTCTAGATGACGTAAGCAAAAACAACCTAGTTGCAATCTGTGACGTCACGCGTATTGCAAAGTTCTCGGCATTTTTGTTGTTTCGCTATGCTTTCCGCTTTAAAAGAGTAATATTGAAGCATCAACTGGTCTAATTGTTTTAAAAATATGCCTAAGTCACGACAAAGTATTCAAGGTAAATGTTTTTCGTCTTTGTTTTGTATTTTTTTAATTTGTAGCTACGAAATTGGCGTCCCCAATTTTAACGAAATTTGGGATGCACTTTTCACTGTTTAGTGCTTGAAAATATTTGCTAAAATTGACTGGGAATACTTAGAGATTTGGCGTAGTTATATCCATTTGCTCTTTGACTAAAATGTTTAGCTGTATTATTGCTAAACATGCCGTTAAGAGAATTTGGTTTGCAACTAGGTTTCAATATCCAGCCACGCCATCATCCCATTGAAAACATTAGGTCACGTCAGTTAGTTTCCTATCCATTTATTTTATTATCCATGATATCATATACAATATTTCACAGAAAATGTATTTCAGAACTTTGAAATCTGATTATGCCAATTATTAGATTAATACAATAAGATAAAGTTAGGAAAAGCAAGAGAACTTTTTCGCATTTCCACCATATTTCGAGAGCAATATCTGACGCGTATTTTGCGAATTCGATGGCCTAATTTAAATTCTACCATACCAAACTTACTTCGAATTTGTCCCTCCCGTGTTGTTTTCTTCAAAGATTTTGGCAAAAATAAAAATCTTGGAGAAACTGGGTGGACATGTACAATTAAGTGTACCATGCACGTGGACCCCAGTCCAACTACAGGTTTAATACCTATTATTATTTATTTAAAAAATTCCTGGTTTCCGATTGTTTATCAGCCAACTGTGAAATTGTCATATCAACTCAATAGCTAACCAAATATGGATTTTTCACATTCATATTGCCAAAATGACGTCAAAGAGTCAACATGAAAAAAATTTGGACGCGTTTGCGCCATATTACTATGACGACGAGAATCATATTGACTCGCTGACGCCATTGATATGACGACGACGACGGCTGCAGAAGGACTAAGGAATTGTTTTTTTTCTTAATACAAATAATATACAAATGGCTTCTTTCACGGAAAGGTTCGCCAAACTTGGCGAAGCCGAAATTTAAAAATTACTGAAAGATAAAGATTCGTTAAATACAAAAAGATCAACAAAAGCTTCTAGAATAGGTAAGAACACTTTTCCAAATTATATTCTTTTGGATTGGATTGGAAAACTTTATTTAATCAGGTTAGCCTCTTCAACTGAAAGCTGGTATTCATGAGGGACCTGCATTTAAATTATTTTACACAAATGTATGTAGTAATAAGATCTAAACATGCAATTCACACTATCAATTACGTAAATAATTCCAAATTAGAGTTTTGAAACTAGAAAGTGTTGTTGCCTCTAATAGGTAATTTATTATATTGTAAAGGTCCATTAAATCTAAAGGTTCTCTTTAAGAGAGATTTTCTTGATTGGCTGATTAACGCGGGCGAACAAATGGATGACCGTTTGTTTTGATTTTTTTAAATAAATAAAAAAAATTATTGAATTCGGTTTTCGCACAATATGAAGAATTATCAAGCCCTCAGTTTGCTGTTATCAACCTCAGCCTTCGGCTTCGGTTGATAACGGCAAACTTCGGGCTTGACAATTCTTCATATCGTACTCAACCTCATTCAATAATTGTTAATCGTTGGGCACCTACAACTGTTCTTGAATATGACAAAACACATAGGGGAGAAAAATAGGGGACGGGAGGCGGACAAAAATTCCCCCGACATTGGATGGAAATTGCAATAGTCCGACATTATCGTGGGTTTATTGATAGATGAATAGAAGGTAAATAGAAAGAATACATGTACATCTCCTACACAGACGAGCAGAAATAAAACGATTGCCCAATTTTTTAACTAGAATCTGCCCGACTAAACACTGTGTCTCGTACGCCTATGGCAAAACAATTGTCAATATTTTGTGATCGTGTTTCTTAACAAAGCACTCCTACTTGTATTCGCGTTTTATCATATCTAAGATGATCGCGCTATACGCTCTGGTCGTGCTTTAAATATTACTGTGACAATATAATGAAAAGTATTACACCTACTGATGCCTATATTCTTTTACTTTTCTCTAGAATTACGCAGAGTCAATTCAATAAACCTGGATGTTTTATCTAGTTATACACTGAGCACTCCGAACATTAGAGCCAAATACAACACAAAAAATAAAGCGCAAAAACATAGTTGAGCACATTTATAGAAATATTATTACACGCACATGTAATAATATTTCTATAATGATTAATGTTCCTACTACTTACTTGATTTACATGTGCATCCAGAGGAAATACGTAAATCAGAATGTTAGTATCAGCAGTCCAAGAATTTCCTATTCAGGAATATTGCTATTTAACATATCAACTGTGGCCATCGTTGGGCGTGAAACCAGCAGTCATCAAAATTAATTAATCTCCAGGTATATATAATCAAACAAGATAAATGAACTATTGCTTGTAGTCATAATAAAACTTGATAGTAAATACGCAGGTGTGTTTAACTTCAACTCTTTTGTCGTGACCAGTGCACTGGTCTTAGATTAACACCATGCATAACGTCAATCCTCTATTAGGCCCCCACACCTCAAATGAGCCCCTCTCAAATAGGTGTCCCCCACTTCGAAAGAGAAATTGTTAGACCCCCGACTCTAATAATCCCTCTACCCCTTCACAACAGAAAAAAATTACATGTATATGGCTAGAAATATTGTTATCCTAGAGACGTTCATGGATGTCAGTTGTTTTTAGGTGACATGCAGTAGTTGCGATCTACAATCTTCATATTACTGTCTTACTCTGATCATTTTTGGGTAGTTTAGCCGCCACTTTTACTTCTGGGGGTTATAGCCCACATAGCACCCCTCCCCCTTCCTTGTTCCGCCGCCCCTGGAAGTTCGGTGATACTAACAGACCACCGTCGCAGAATAAAGAAGACCGTGAAACCTTTTTGAACCGCAGAGATTGTGCATGGTTGACCTTCTGTCTGTGCGAACTTTGTATACTTTTGATGTTTCAGCAACGAGGTGTATTACAGTATGAACATTTGTAAACAGTGCTAACCGCACGAGATTTTGAAAGACACGACGAGAAAGCCATGCTGAAGTGAGATCGTGTGTTGACAAATACAATAACAACGAAATTGCCCGAAGTTTTATAGTAAATAAATAAATAAATAAACCTAACTAAATTAATTGGTTGCTGTATGCATCCATGTTAAATATTGTATATAGATCTATAAATATTTAGTTTATGTTATGTGTGAATCTTAATTTGCTAATGACATGAGCACTCACGATCGAATGGAAACCAAATCAAACCTCCTCCACCAGATTCATTTCAGCTTCATCCTCTTCATTCTCTTGCAATCTCGTGTATCTGATAAGATCTTTAGCAGTAAACATATAAATTGAAAATATCACAAGAAGAACCACGGTCAGCAGTGAATAAGCACATAACGCAATCTTTGTTCCTACTGCGGTAAATAGGTAGCCAGTGATTGCAGTACCAACTTCCTTCCCAATGCCATGGAATGTTAAACTTACTGCGCCTGTTCAGAAAAGAATTGATACATAACTGTTACTACAAAAGGCTTTTAGAAAGATGATAAGAAAAGAAAGTTTGGTAAACAAGAACTGCTACGAGACAATTTAGTTTGAAAGTTTAATGTCTTTCAATACCGCAGAATTTGTCTTTCTTTTAAACCATTCCACAATACCCCAAACAGTTTTGATAATCGTTATTTAATTAAAAAGGATTCGTGAAAAAGGTTAGGACACCCTTTTTGGCGTTTTGCAGAAAATCGCTACTGCGGCTGCGCGCTCAATATCAGTCCCATTTTCATCAAATTTTCACCAAATGTTCGCCAGTGCATGCAAAATATGGTAAAGTTGTAAAATTGACAAACAATAAAATAATGTAATTATTGAGGAAAATCTTAAATCGCGGTACCTTTACGCTTTTGAGTTGTTTTCCTGCTGGTTTTAAGATGATATATTTATGAAAATATCATTTTTGTATAGTAAAACGGTTGTTCTCAAAAATTGTGTGTCTCGGAAATTTTTGTTTATTTCGTCATTCCGCTGATATGGCGCTTTCTTTGACGACTGCAATATATTTCAATTTTGAAACTGACGTCTTTAGCTGCATGTCCTGTGAAAATGTGAGAAAAAGTCGTTAAAACCCGCAGGAGAACAACTCGTTTGAAAATCAGTAATTGCCGTAAAATTCTTCGGGAGAAAATTGAATTTGATTATATTACATTTTCAATGTTTTTCCGATTCTGCGAGTTTTCAAGATTTTTCGTTCAAACTTGGTCAGACAGTAGAACTAGTCTAATGCTTTCATGGAAACCAATAAAAAAATTTTTAGGCAAAATTAACACTCAAAGGTGTTCTGTAACCTGAAAGCCAACGGTGAAATAATCATAACAACTCAATTGCTGAATGGAGTTGTGATATCAAATGATGTGATATAATGGGTGTGATATGGAGAATTATCGCACAATGATGTATCATATCAATGCAATGTGGAAACATGAACAAAAACAGGATGGAGTCGCCTTACTGTACATCGCCCTAAGAAGGGAAGAAAAGCACAATAAAGACAAAATGACAACAAAAATTACGACGAAAAATCTCTGTCTGTGAAGAAATATATTCAAAAAAAGAGTGACATTTCCCGAAAATGGCAAAAGAATTCGTCTTTATTTTGAAGACTTTAACCCACCGGTGCGGATTTCTTTTATATCTTTAAAATAAATCATAAAAAAATATTGACGTCGATTTCCCCCATCTGCTTATCTATGATAGCACAACGTACTAGGCTTGCTATTCCTTCAAATCATGCTTAATCAAGTGCGAATTCGTATGCAATGTCGGAATGATGTGCATGCATAACATGGTATTTGAAAAATAACGGCGTACTAGAATGCCCAAAACGTCTTGCAATAAATGTGCTATTCAGGACGTCTTCATTTAAAGTCGCCGGTTGTATTCACCAAACTCCCTATACATGTACAAGAGATAAAGTAAGCGAAGCAGGGTGCGATAATTCGCGTACCAACGTACCGGAGGTACGCCAAATTTATGGTCTGGTACTTCTTTGTTTTTAGCCAAGTACCACGTAGGTACACGGAAATTTACTATTCGTGTATTACACTAGCTATTTCCCTTCTAGCAATAACTAGCCAACCTGCCACCACTGTATGTAGCTGAGGTCGGACAGTTAGTACCCTCGGTAAATTCACTGTAAATGAGCGATGGCATTCGAGCCGGTCACAACGTCGACGCTTTGAGAACTGTTACATTATGTTGTACAAATACCATAATTAAAGATTCATTTGTACAAAATTGCTTTTGGACCAGCATTAAAACTATACGTAGGTATAAAAACGCATGACTCGGAAGTAGTCTTAGGTACGTCTTGACAGGTACGCGGCAAAAGTTGTCGGAGTACCAGTCAGGTACGGCCAAAAATATTGAATTATCGCACCCTGCAAACGTATTGGCTAAATAATTGCGAAAGATGACGATCTTCTGTCTCCTAATGCAAAACTAAAAATGTTTATTACATCTGTGAAATAATTACAACGGTCAACGGGTCTTCCTCATTCACAAAGCATTTTAATGAAGTATAAACGTACCTTGAAAAAAAGCAGTGGATGCTTCTGAACCAGCTTTCGAGAAATGGACAACAAACGATGCGAATGATAAGACATAGGATGCAGCTTGAAAATTATCAAACACGATAACAAGCCAAGCATTTTCGATGAAGGCCAGTGCGAAAAAAGAGGCAGCAAAAATGAACAATGAAAAAGCAATGACTCTCATCTCGCCAAATCGTCTAATTATAAGACGGGACAGTAAAAACCAAACGGCTACGATTGGTCGTCTCGCTAAACCTCCAACAGCCATTACAACTGAACTCCCACCAAGTTTCTCTATATACCAGAATTCCCATCGAGCTTGGAACGCCGAGCACAGGCCGGAATGACAGCAAATTACCAAAATTAAAATATAATGAGGGTTGGTTAAAACTTTCTTAACTTCTTTGTAGTCTATCACTCTGTGTTCGAGGTATTGAAATTTCATAAATGGCAACGTGCCAAGGGTCAAAACCTGAAAACCAACCACAAAAAAGAAAATAACAACATAATCCGGACCTTGATCACCACATACATTATGTTGGAAGTGGTATAACGACATTCCAACAACAAACAATGCAATACCACCACCAATTTCTCCCCAACATGCATAATAACCGAATTTTGATTTATCCTGCTTTAAATGGGTCATAGCGGCAACTGTAATCAATGTGACAGTAAGTCTCTTTGACAGTTCAAATATTCCCCTTAAAACCATAAAAATGAAGAAGAATTTCAATCTTTCTCCGTTATTTTCACTTTGAGTTTTCATGGAGAACGAAGGTAATGCCGATGGTAAGCTGGTAAAATTGTCTGTTCTGTTCAACGATGTAACTATGGTGTTATTTGTTATGGTCGAGTTCCCCATGGATTCATCACAAATTGGTTCTGGGGTTTCAGCAGCAAGAAATAGCAAAGTACTAGGGATTGATATGAACACAGAGAGAAATAAGAATAGTCTTCTTGCTCGAAATTTGTCTGCCAGATAGCCAAGCAATGGTATGCCGACAGTCTGAGTTACGAGACCAAGGACAGGAGCCAAGCCAATAAATGAGGCACTGTAACCAATTTGTTTTAAGTACAATGGAGTATACTCTTCCAAAATGCATACACTGGGACGAAAGAGAAAGAAAGCCAATCCAATAGCAACACCACCAACAGTAAGCGAAAACATTCTTCACTTGGATGTCTGTTCCTTTTTGGACTTTCTTCAAACCTGTTGAGAATAGTGGGTCAAACATATTATGCTATTGTCACAAACTATCAGTGACCATTTTAGTGGGAGGCTGAAAGCATTCCAATTTTACAGACAAATGGGTGTGGCATTCGCAAAATAGGCGTGGCTATCATATATTTCGTTAATTCAAAACAGGTGAACACTGTAGAAAAAGATATAATATTTAAGTGAATGGTGCGAACCTCAGCATGCGTAGGATGTGTATTGTCTGTATGCCCGAACATAGCCACTGGAACGCAGATATTCACTTCTTCTAAATTTTAGTGACAATTTAAATATGCACCGCACACAGCAAGTTGGCGGTCCGGTTTATCGGGAAAATCAAGAAAACTTGGACAGCTTTATCAGAAAACATGTTAAATTCTGGTTATTTCATTACAATCGTGCATAAAAATTCAGGCAAACTTTCAACTGCACCATCCCCTCCCCCGGGGTATCGCCGTCGTATGCTTTTAATAATATATCATTATAAGCATGACATGATATATACAGGGTTCGTAGTCTCCAAGACCAAAAAATTAATATTCAAAGACTTTCAAAGATTTTTTCTGCCTATTGTCAACGACTTTTCAAAAAGACCTTTGAGAGCAATGAGTGGCAAGTTGAAAAATTGCGATGTATAAGCACCATTTTTACCCGGTAATTAGCCTCGTCAAATCACAACCTAAAATGCACTTTTTCGTCGATATTTGCGAAAATCTTGCTTCAATCAATCTATTCTATTAGCTAAGAAATCGTATAATGAAATACTCTTTAAAACTGTGGCAATTGATACACCAGGCGGAAATCTGAGTTTAAAGATAAAGAGCAGAGCCCAGCAAATAACTTTAAATCGAAACATAATAAAAGTAAAAAATTTATTAGCTAACGTTTCGTTGTTTACAATACAACATCTTCAGAGCAATCTAAATTAATTTACAGGGTATGGTATATATATTTACAAAATAATGGTTTAATATTACAAAAACGGTTACATAGTTTGAAAGAACAAATGAATAGAAAGAAAGGAAAACAACTTATCAGTGACTAGTTAATAAGTAAAGATTAATGTATGGTTAGTATAGTTAAGGTTAATATTACATAACTAAAATAACTCAAGAGGGGTAGAGATCTAATATTAGCATTAAGGACAGGGTTAAGTTGAGATATTAATAGGCTTTCACGGATAAGAAGATCCCACTCAGAAGTGCCTGATGATAGGATTTTGAAATCAGAAGCGGAGACTGGGTGTTTGTGCATGTGTTTGTGAGCGAGTATACTAGACATGGTTGAGATAGAGCGTTCTTTTCCAGTCAAAGGCGAGACTCCCATATGCTCTGAGATACGTGTGTGAATGTGTCGGCGTGTTTGGCCAACATACAATGCGCTACAGCATTGACACGTGAACTGATACACAACATGTGATCTCAGGGCAATGGGAATTCTGTCTTTAAATGGAAAGAAACTAGAAAGGTGAAAGGCGACAGGAGGGACGGAAAACAACACGCATGGAAATATGTGGATAAGCAGAAGCAAGAACTTTACTAAGTTGTGAACGGATATGTAGACCATGATGTCCAGTGAAAGGAAGGCAAAAGTAAACAATTTTCTTGGAACATGTATGGACCTTGTCCTTAGTGTTGTAAATCCTGTCAAGAAATGTCTTAATGCAACTATCTATAAGTGCTTTAGGATAACCATTGGAAGAAAAGGTTTTCTTAAAATTTTCCATTTCAGACTGGAAAGATATGTAAGAAGAACAAATATTGAAATATCGAGATATAAGAGAGAAGAGGAGACCTTTTTGTACATCATTGGAATAAAGCTATCAAAGTTTGTGAATAAGCCAGTTGAAGTGCACTTGTGATTGATCAACTGTGAAACCGTGAAAGTGCGAGGTATTAATTGTTAATAAGTGTTTCTCGCCCTGGTGTTTCTATAATACCTCGCGCTTTCACGATTTCACAGTTGATCAATTCACTCAACTTCTTAACTTATCTGTAAAGAATTGTCATTTTCTATTTGATGGTGCTCTTTATAAGCAGGTTGATGGTGTTGCAATGGGTTCACCACTTGGTCCACTGTTTGCTAATATCTTTCTATCATTCCATGGAAAACCTTGTTAGCTGACTGCCCTTCTAACTTTAAACCTTTGTTTTATCGTCGTTATGTTGATGATTGTTTTCTGATCTTTCAATCCCGTGATCATGTGCTTCCCTTCCTCTCTTATCTCAATTCCAAACATTCAAATATTCAATTCACACATGAACTTGAAAACAGTTCTTCGCTACCTTTTCTTGATGTCAACGTAATGCGTTCAAACGGTTCATTCACGACCTCAGTCCATCACAAATGCACTTCAACTGGCTTATTCACAAACTTTGATAGCTTTATTCCAATGATGTACAAAAAAGGTCTCCTCTTCTCTCTTATATCTCGATATTTCAATATTTGTTCTTCTTACATATCTTTCCAGTTCTGAAATGGAAAATTTTAAGAAAATCTTTTCTTCCAATGGTTATCCTAAAGCACTTATAGATAGTTGCATTAAGACATTTCTTGACAGGATTTACAACACTAAGGACAAGGTCCATTACATGTTCCAAGAAAATTGTTTACTTTTGCCTTCCTTGCACTGGACATCATGGTCTACATATCCGTTCACAACTTAGTAAAGTTCTTGCTTCTGCTTATCCACATATTTCCATACGTGTTGTTTTCCGTCCCTCCTGTCGCCTTTCTAGTTTCTTTCCATTTAAAGACAGAATTCCCAATGCCCTAAGATCACATGTTGTGTATCAGTTCACGTGTCAATGCTGTAGCGCATTGTATGTTGGCCAAACACGCCGACACATTCACGCACGTATCTCAGAGCATATGGGAGTCTCGCCTTTGACTGGAAAAGAACGCTCTATCTCAACCATGTCTAGTATACTCGCTCACAAACACATGCACAAACACCCAGTCTCCGCTTCTGATTTCAAAATCCTATCATCAGGCACTTCTGAGTGGGATCTTCTTATCCGTGAAAGCCTATTAATATCTCAACTTAACCCTGTCCTTAATGCTAATATTAGATCTACCCCTCTTGAGTGCGAGATAAATATTGAATTGCGTGCACATAATTTGCAAGCTTTTTACTCTGGATCTGAAAATGCAAAATATACGAATACTTCCTGAAGAAACCAGGTTAGTATGGCTTTATTTCTTTGTGCTAATATCCATTAAGGCGATGAACGTTTGACGTTTATTCTAGAGGCAAGCAATGCGCTTTTATTTATCGGCGCTTCTTACAGCCCGAAATATCCCATTGTCCACTTGCTCGTTTTAATAGAACATTTTAAAATAATGTCTTAATACAAAGAGACAAGATGTACTTAAGAGCTCTGAGGTATTGAAACAATATGATTTCATGAATAGGCAATTCCAGCTTTTAGTTTATGCCTACAGGGGATGATGCGAAGTAAGGTATCATATTGCCAATTATGCTGAAAAATTTCAATAAAAACTACCGAAACTTCCGAAATATTTCAATATTTACAAGTATAAGCTATTACTCCGTGTTTACACGGCCACCATTTTTATTTTTTCAGCATAATCAGCAATGTGATACTTTACTTCCCATCGTCCCCTGCACGCATTACTAAAAGCTGGAATTGCCCATTTACGGGCAGTTTTAATAATAGCCCACCCGATCTATCCGTCAATAATGCCTTATTTATACAAAGAGTCAAAATGTACTTTATAGTTTATTTGTTTGTTATGTGCCAAGCCAGCCAAGACGATGAGTTTATATAGTGTTCATTGTCTAGATGTTTATAGTTTAAAAACAAACGCAGAATGTTGTTAAATCATGAGGCTTACTGTAATAAGATTCCTAAAGCAACCCAGTGTGGATTGTTGTCTGGACATATTGTCTATTGACTTACCAGCAATTACAATTTACATGTAATAGTATGTATGTCAATTGACTTTTGTATAAGGCCTCTGAGATATGTCCATTGTTAGCATAAGATGAAATAATCCTACCGGCCTATATTCATATATTTATCTGGCTGTGTTACTACATTTCAGAGTATATTGTATTTTTCGATAATGCTCACAATTTCTTTCTTATTATTAATATTAATATAGTTTTGCAGTTCTGACTGAGTACAACCTTAATCATTACAATGAATGGTGTCATTTGAAGCTGACATATTAGTCGGTTGTTCTGTGATATGGGCAGCCTTGAAAGTGGCGTTAAAACAATAACTGGAACAAACCCCGACTTATTATTTTTATATAAACATTGTACAGTATTCAGTGATAAGCTAGCTATGGCAACTAGCCATGCAATGCTAATAACCTGCATCTATTTGAATAATGCAAATCATTAAAAACGTGCATAGCATGACCTGTTGCTATATGCCATATATGGCTAGCTTCACCACTGACAGTATTACAGTCGAACCCCTATTAAGCGGACACCTTCGGGACCTCGCCTAAGTGTCCGCCTAAAAGAGGTGTCCGCTTAAAAGGGGTATGTAGAAAAACACAGCAGGAGGAAAAGGTGTGTAATTAGGTGTATAATTTGAGTATCATCATGGCTGGCGGTTCACAGTCCTCCGTCCTCGTTCGTCACTTGCTCAATAATCTTGGCTCTGATGTCCTCGCGCCAAGTTGGTGTGTCACTGTGCCATGTAAATTGATCTCAATTGTTATTTACTGTCGAATATTTAATACATTTTATCAGACAATCTGTCATCTGTCCGCTTAAGAGAGGTTGATTTGCCCATTGGGATCTCCAGAAAGGTGTCCGCGTCCGTTAAAGAGGGGTGTCCGCTTAATAGGGGTTATGATAATAGTATTTTATTAAAGAAACCGAATGGGACCTGAGATATGTGTCCGCTTAAAAGAGGTGTCCGCTTATAGGGGTTCGACTGTATATGAATTACACATACAAAAACAAGCAGTTATAAGCATTGAAGATGTCCATATAAAACCGCACATGCTAAGAAAGTAGAATTCGAACATTTAGCCGACCCTTGACTTTGTGCAAGGTGTTTGATATTCAAATTACGCTTTTCCTACCTCCTGAACACGCGTCTTAGGTGCTGTTCGCATGATGGAGGCAGGACAATTTTGATGTAAATATTGAAATATTAGTCACCAGCTAAAAGAAAGTTCAAATGCTGGTGAACAGATCTCAAATGTTGTAGAGAAGATCTTGTGGTTCAAGAAGGTTATTATGCTTGAACAACCTTTCATATACAGTTAATTATAATCCATCTCTAGAAAATAATGAAGTTTTTTGCTGAATAATATGCACTGTGACTTATTTCAGCACATTGAAATCATCCTGCCTCATGATATATCCTGGCAAAGTGTGATCATATAAACAGATCCTTATTCAGCAAAACGCGCATGCTGCTTTTCATCCCTTGGGTCGAGGCAGCATTTCCTTGCGATAGTGACTTCTAGTTGTATCTTATATCGAACATGGTTGGTTAATTAAACTAGGATAGAATTATACTTGCACTAGGATAACTGGGACATTCAGGATAATTATTGATAATCTGTTTTTGTTGTATATAGTTTCGCACTCGCTTTTCAGCTTGTGTTAGTGTAAAATAATACATATTCAAATTATGGTGTAGATCGTCCTTGATTCTATCGAAAGAACCTACGCTATATTAGATCTCGTTATCGTCGTAGACAAGTTAACACAACGCAAGGCAACACTATAGCTTATTTCGAGTGACGAACGAGACATTGGTGCCGTGACCAGGATGGACGGTCTAAAACGCGCAAAGATAAAACGTGGCGCTCAACACGCACAAGCAACTAAAATTTGGAACAAAGCTGAACTACTCATAAACGGTGAAATGAACGAAGTTAATATTGAGAAACTACGGGTCATTCTGGCAACGTACGACGCGAAAATCGAACTACTTCGAAAGTTGGATGAGACTGTATCAGATCTAATCGAAGACGAAAAGGGCTTAGAGACGGAGATCTTTGAAGCCGACGACTATTTAACGGAACTGACTAAAAAGAGGTGCACCATAGAATTATTTATCAATCAAAGCACAATCCATAGTAATTCGTTAGATAGCCATATGGCTACCACAACACCACAAAACGGACACGTTTTTCCTACTCAAAGTACGCCGCCACAATCGCATAATACAAATAGTCATAGATTACCGAAGTTAGCCCTGCCAGTATTCAACGGCAACGTGTTAAAATGGCAAACCTTTTGGGACTCGTATAAAGTCGCTATACAAGAAAACGCCAGCCTAAGCGACATACAAAAAATTACATATCTCAAAGCTCAAGTGTCAGGTGAAGCCGCGCAATCATCGAAGGTTTACCGCTTACAGAGTCAAACTACGAGCAATGTATTGAAATTTTGGAACAGAGATTTGATCAACCCCACAAAATAACTAACGCACACATGCAAGCCTTGTTTGATCCACCATGCCCTTCAAATTCAGTGTCTACCCTGCGCCAATTTTACGATAGCATGGAAATCATATTCGAGGTCTCGAGGCGTTAGGAAAGAAACAAGACACCTACGGTGACCTTTTAATCCCCATTGTTTTGGGTAAACTTCCCACTACAATCAAACACAACTTAATTCGAGAGAACGGTTCAACTAAATGGTCAGTAGAACAATTACGCAAATCAATTTTGAAAGAAATTCAAATACTAGAAGCTGGGGAAGTACTCTTTCAGTCAAAGGCAAAACCTGTCAACACCCTACCATCAACATCGAGTCTACTGACAAACGCATCCGGAAAGTTTGGAAACCATGCCAACGCAAAGGAATTTTACACGCCTAAAAATCGTCCTACAAACAAGAGTTTATGCATTTTCTGTCCGGGCCATCACCGCCCTAACGATTGTACTGTAGTAAAGGATCCCACAGCCCGTAAGAATATTGTTTTCCAAGCGAAGTTATGTTTTAACTGTTTGAACAATCACCGCGTATCTGATTGTAACTCGAGAAATCGCTGTCGAGGGTGTCACAAGAAACACCACACGAGTCTTTGTAATAAAACGAACAAAGATGCGACAAAAAATACCGGAAAAAATCAACCCACTCGTCGACAAAACCCCGGACCGTGTCCACACGTCTCTGTCATTCAACGACTACTATGGGAGACAAACACTCCTCAAAAACTGCCACTAATACGATAGCAATACAGAACAAAATAGCGACAGCAAACATTCTCTTTGATGAAGGGGCTCAACGTTCCTTTATCACCCAAAGTTTAGCTGACGAACTCGAACTTACGCCTGAAGGAAGTGAAATCTTAAATCTATCAGTCTTTGGCGGGTCTTCGACTTCTATCAAACAAGTAGACATGGCTACAATTAATCTCAACACCGAAGAGATGGCGAAAAAATTCCTATACAGGTATTGATAATTCCCACAATCGTAGTTCCGCAGAAAAGTTTCCCCACCGCCGAAATTCGAAACCTCCCATACCTCAACGGCTTGAAACTTGCACACCCTATGACGACGGATGATCATTTCCACATATCCCTCTTGATTGGCGCGGACCACTACTGGGACGTTGTCGAAGATGAAATCGCTAGGGGACCGGGCCCCACTGCAGCGAAATCTAGAATCGGCTACTTGATTTCTGGACCCTTGCTTTCTGGGCCAGCTGTTGCGACAACATCACTCAATGCAACCAATCTTGAAAGTCATTGTTTCAAACGAACACGAAAGTAAAGCTTTGGAACGATTTTGGAATCTAGAATCTATTGGGATTCTTCCAGACGAAATAACAACCCACGAAGACAAGTTTGTTAAGGAATATCAGGATTCTTCAATACGACTCGTGAATGGCCAACACTGTGCAAAGTTACCATGGAAACCTAACCATGACCCCCTTCCCACCAACGAAGCAGTAGCCCAAGGGAGAACCCGTTCCACTGTAAGAAGATTAGCTGAAGATCCCAAGATGTTGAAAACCTACAGTGAACTTATTAACGAACAGTTAAAACGAGGTTTTATTGAAAGAGTTACAAATCCAGACACACAAAACGGTTATTGCCACTACATCCCACATCACGCCGTATTAAAGGATTCCCCTACCACACCTATTCGTATTGTGTACGATTGCAGTTGCAGCCCAAATGCCAACAATGCTACCTGGAACTACTGTCCAACTTCTGACAATCCAGCAGATCTCCTAACACGAGGAATCTTGGCAGACGACCGTTCCAAGTCTAATTTGTGGACCCATGGCCCACCTTGGCTAACCACCCACGACCACTGGCCAGAATGGAAACCTAACAACGTTCTTCTGCAGTCCTCCCTAGACAAAGATCAAGAAACGAGCGAAGTCACTGCCGAAGTCACCGACACGTCTACAAACGCCAGCATAACCCAGATTATAGCCTGCGAACAGGCTCACTGGGAGAAAGGTGAGCCTGCACGGAACCATGCGTTTTATTCAATCATCCCCTTTTTGCATCTGCTAAACGCTGACCAATCAGCGTCGACTGCGATAAATAAACTGTCAACTGTCAAATTGACGCAAGGCGTGTACATTGTGCAACATGAACAATAATACAAAGCATTAGCGGGCCGCACAATATATATTACTCGGAAAAATATAGAATTCTTCAAATATTAAATAGATATCAATACACATACAAATATAAAGCCGAATAAACTGAGTGTACAGTGATACTTGTACTATGTGCGACTGAAAGAACAATGTTCTGAATATTTTGAAGCTATTACTAAAATACGGTCAGATAGATTGGGATTTGGAATACCGAATACGTCTAAAATTTTACTAACTGTGGTCTAAATAAATGATAAATGAGCATGTATTTATTAATTTCTTCGAAATCACGAGTGTGCCAATAGTGGAAGCCGTATCGACGACGAAATTGTCAGCAGTTAATATACAGTAAATAGTACAACGTTTAATGTACGATATATATTTATCTAAATGACATGCCAGCGAGGATCAACAATATAATTATTCGTACATATTTGGGTATCTTTTGTATGCCTTCGCTTGCTGACTTGCTCACTAATGAGAATAATCCGTGAAGCCACGACGACCTCAAAATGTACTATACTATGGTCTGATGTCAATCCGAAGACGAAGTTCAGAATACTGTTATAGTTTCGTATATATTGGATTTAAGCGATAGATTCAAGTCATTTATGATAGACTTTTTTGCTGTGATGCTTTGCTATTGCTTTTGGTTTCCATTTCTAGTTTTATTTGTTCGATAGTCCTATAATATATAATATTAAAATGAATAAAGTTCAAATTCTTCAAAATGCTGTTGTTGACATTTGCTATTTTTAGTAATTTTGTCAACGAGTGTAAGCCAATCAGAAGCCTGCGTTTCTATACGAACGCCACTACCAAGAAAACCTATAGTTCCGTGCAGGCCCTCTATTCTTCGCGCCGCCCGCAACCCAGGGCCTGTTCGCAGGCTACCCAGATTATTGTTCCTACCAAATTCAGTGACCTTCAACGACTACTGCGAACTACAGCGTGGGTACTTCTTCGTTAATGCCATGAAAAAAGGCAAAGTATGTAAGGGAAAACCACTAAAGGTCTACGAAGTTGAAAACGCGAGAAATGTTTGGATACGGGAAATCTAAAACGACGCCTACGGTAATGAACTTGCCAACATACAAAAGCCGAAAACCTCTCGTCTACCCCTTGTACGTCAACTTCGCCTGTTTACTCTGGAAGACAACATCATTCGTTGTGGTGGCAGAATTCACAATGCACCAGTGGAACATTCAGCAAAGTTTCCCATACGTTTACCCCCAAACCACCATTTTACCTTGCTGGTTGTCAACGATGCACACGAGAAACTACAACACGCTGGATTAAACCAAACCCTGACACAAATAGTACGCCAGAAGTATTGGATTCCAACAGCTCGCCAGTACATCAAGAAAATACTTCGCAAATGTGTAACGTGTCGAAAGGTCTTCGGAACACCATTCAATGCCCCTGACCCACCTCCACTTCCATTCTATAGAATGACTGATTCCCACCCATTTACCGTCACCAGTGTAGACTTCACCGGGGCCATCTACGTCAAAACGCCACGTGGACAAGAAAAGGTCTACATTTGCTTGTTCACTGTTGTAATTTCTTCGCACAAGTTTGGTTAAACTATAAAAAATTTCCGGTCGCTGGTTCAGTCAACAAATCACTGGGACTGTATTTCCTTTTTTCCAATTTTCCTTTATTCAAACAATCTTTTACAATCAATCAAACTAACCATTCTACATACATTTCATACTAATACACTCTAATACTCACACTTTCCAATCACCCAATACCATTACAATATAATATTTTTACACTCATATTTATACTCTAAAACTAGGAAACCATTTTTCTGTTCATACGTCATTTTTTAACCACATAAAGTTCCTTCCCTTAGTCACGTCTAAGGTGTGTCATATTTTCATCCCATTTTAACGTTGAAACGTGCTGTATCTACATCATGCTTACGCGCAATTTATCAATGTTAATTATTGCGTATTCACGTTTCGCGGTCGCTGCGCCCACATCGCGCCTTAATCTTGAAGTTCCTTAACATTCACCTGTGTAAACACACGCGCAGTCCACCTCGAAGTAGTCACAAATTTAACTGTTCCGACCTTCATGTCTGCTTTTCGAAGATTCGCAAGCCGCAAGTCCTTACCAAAAATTATGGTGTCAGACAATGCATCAACGTACCAATCTGCCGCAGAAGAGTTGACCCTACTATTCAATTCAGCAGAGTTGGAAACCAATCTCAGTAAACGAGGAATCCAGTGGAAATTTATCCCAAAACGAGCACCATGGTACGGTGGTTTCTGGGAAAGATTAATTGGTCTGACAAAGAACTCCTTGAAAAAGGTTCTAGGAAAGGCGAATGTCACTTTAGAAGAGCCCCAAACAATTTCTTCCGAAACGGAAGCAATCCTTAATGACCTCCCGTTAACCCATGTATCATCAGAACTAGAAGACGCAGAACCACTAACACCATACCATCTACTGTATGGCCGGAGAATTACCACCTTACCCCACCCTCTTTACGAAGACGACGAGTTTCGTGATCCTATCTATGAATCCTAACCTAGTAACATCGACGTCCAAGCAAAATTGAGAACATATAATACAACACTTTTGGAAACGTTGGCGTCAAGAATATCTGACAAGCTTACGGGAATTTCATAAAACCACTGGAAACAATTCAACCGAGATACGTGTTGGTGATGTGGTTCAAGTACACGATGACACGAAACGTGTTAACTGGAGACTTGCTGTTGTACAAAGTTTAATCAAGGGAAAAGACGGACTAGTACGGGCAGCAAATATCAAAACAAGTACTGGACATACGAACAGACCAGTAACTAAACTCTACCCACTGAAACTTAGTTATTACTGAAATCACTAAACTGTCCACATCCCGCTAAGAATTTTAAACGGTTTGATAATTCCAAATTCAATTTTGGTTCAATCATGTGATCAAATTGTTTCATCATTTTGGTCACATGACTTCATGCTTTTGTTATCAATTTATTTTTGTATATGGGTTTCTAATTTTATTATTCAATCAGGTGCGTAGTTTTGAATTAAACGTCAGAAATTCGTTACTCGACAGTCAATTTATTCAAACGTAAACAAGGTCACAAACATCCAAACGAAGGTCAATGCAACAGAATATATGAAATATTTCGAATATTCGTTTTATGTTCATTTTAAAGTTCCATAATCGTAATAAACAATCTTTCTAGTATCTTTCTTATAATATGATCTCCCGTAATATACTGAGTTGTTTCGAAGTTGACTGGGAATAATTAGCACTGTCAAATCGTGAAGTCATGTGACCAAAATGATGAAACAATTTGATCACATGATTGAACCAAAATTGTCTTTCCCCGTTTAAAATTCTTAGCGGGATGTGGACAGTTTAGTGATTTTAGTAATAAATCGAACTCCACATGTGACAACAGAGAAACCAAAGATCACCATTGAGGCATTGACGAAACCCTAGACGCAACGAATCCAGACCTCTCAACTTTGCAGAGAAGTTAAGAGTGAGACTAGTACCGAAAAATTATTCTACACTTTCGGTCAGTGTACCATTTTAGGGGTCCAAAAATTTTTCCGCACGTAATAAAATTTTTATGCGTTAGATTTACTAAACGTGGCGTGAGAGAGAGCGTGAGACTGAAGCGAATTGCGTGAGACTCACGCCGAATGCGTGAGAATTGAGAGGTCTGGCGTGAGAGCGTGAGACTGAAGCGAATTGCGTGAGACTCACGCCGAATGCGCGAGAGTTGAGAGGTCTGCGAATCCCTCAACAAATCCTCACCCAGGTGACGTCATAGAGGGTCTTAATGGGGGTCTTTGGGTGTCAGTTGTCAGCTAAAATTTAAGCCAGTTGTCAGTTGTCAGTGCGATATATTGCAAGGTGTCAGTAGTCAGTTACTGCAAAAAAGCTGACTCATCGTTTTTTCATCATTTCTCAGTTGTCAGTTAGGATATTTTGTCAGTTGTCAGTCAAAAATTCAGGCAAATGTCAGTAGTCAGTTAACCCCATTCAGACCCTCGTCATAGACTCATAGTTCGAAAGTCAAGCAGACCCGTTTTGAAGCCTCATTTTGGTGAAAGCGATTTAAGTGCGGCTGAATCCTGTGTTGAATCCTGTGGTAGCTTCACACTAGTAAAAATTGAAACAGTGGTCATCCATACTCTCGCGCCCCCCGGAGGATGTCGAGAATTGACAGTATTTTTAACACTATCAGTATCTTGCACGCATTCTAATATATAAATAGTTCATTATTAATATCTTATATTTATTGATAATCTGTTTTTGTTGTATATAGTTTCGTACTCGCTTTTCAGCTTGTGTTAGTGTAAAATAATACATATTCAAACTATAGTGTAGATCGTCCTTAATTCTATCGAAAGAACCTACGCTATATTAGATCTCGTTATCGTTGTAGACAAGTTAACACAACGCAAGGCAACACTATATCAACTTAAACTATAGTTTATTTCGAGACTCGAGTGACGAACGAGACACGAACGATTTCGAATAAAATTATAAAACACGAACATTAATATATTAAAATACACGATGAAAGATTCTATTTATTGTTGAGGTCGTTTTACACACTATATTTTATTAAAAATATTAGTACAAATACAGCTTATATTAAACTTACTTCGTATAAAACCACCAAGAGATGACACGTGTATAAATTTCTAAAGTTCATACATGAAGTATTGCATTTGCACGTACAGCCCGCAATTCACTGCCCGCAATTAACCCGAGTGCCCGAGCCTGAGTGTAAAATGACACTATGGCGTCGGCTTCAATGGACAACAACGATCGAGCAAATGAGCTGGTGAGTTCTATTCCAAGATAATTCATTAATCATATTTCCCCAATACTCTGCTGAACTTTCCTATTTACTTTAACGTAACTGAGTGAAAAACTACCTCACTTGTTTTTAACACAATACAGAGCCTGTATTTTTGTCACAAATTTTAATTAATATGCTATCTGGTGGACAGATTTTTTGTTTGTGTTTACATCTGACAAAAACTCCTGGATAAATACCGTTCTAAATCGAACCTGTTTAAAGATTATCATGAGCAAATGGATGACAGGGGAATATTATTTCAAAAACAAGTGAGAAATTATAGAATCAGATGATTTATAAGTATCTACGAGGAGTATGCTCTACTATGCTGTATGCACATTCCAATTTGCTATATTAAATTTTACTTTAAAATATTGAAGATATGCCCCTTGATCAGATTTTAAATTTATAACTGTTATTTGCTCCTATTAAATTCATGCAGAAACCTGAAATTTTTCTACTTTTTAAATAATATTTTTATAATATTTGAGAAGTAAAAATATTTGTAGTTTTGTACATGATCTCACAAATTTAACAATATCAAATTAAGGAATGAGTTTTACACTTGGAACTTTAAAAATGTTCACAAGCATGTTTATTCATCACTAATTGCTTTCCTTAGTCAACTTCAATCAAACTCCGATTTACAATTTTATGGAAAGCAATCTCGTTCCCAGGGTCTTTCCTCTATGGAGATATGTAACAGGCAGAAGGTTCACTCACGTCGGAACCTCTGAAGGTTCTGTGCCTGCGTATGTTGTTCTGCGCATCTTGGCCGCCATGTTGAAAGAAAGGCCTATCAAGGCCAAAACAATAGATTAGCTAATATGGCAAATTCGGAGTTAGATGCTTTGAATGGCCATATCTTTGTTATTTATCAACAGGGCATGAAATTTAAATTTTTTAGTAGTATCCAAGTGGGATACCAGGCTTTTGAATCTGGTATCCACTTTTGGAAGCTAATATCCCACGTTTTGGTCCCAAAATTTGACTTTTGTTGTGTGTTTGCAAAGCCTTTACATGGAAATTTGTACAACCACCCTTGATGAACTTTGAGTCCTTATCACATAAACTGGTATTCTCCAAACATGTTTTACAAAACATTTTGCCATTTTCAAGCATCACCCATGGAAATGACTTTGTCCAGCTTTGGCAAAAACTTTGTGATCGCTTTTGGCAAAAACTTTGTGATTGCTTTGATTGTTCATACTGTTGTTTTACTTCCGCGTTTTGTTTTTCACGTCTTTCTTGTTCTGCAGATTGTTTCTCTTGTGTTTCAAGAGCCGAAACTCTTGTCACATATTTTAGCATATTATGACTGACGAAACTTCTGACTCTGTTTCAAAATTTGCATCACAAAGCACATGGAAGGGCCAAAATTTAGGATGTAAATACGGGTCCGCAAATCCAGGCAAATTTCTGAATTTGCGGGTTCAGCACACCCTGAAATTGGGACGCTTCAAATAGCAAAATTATGCAATTATTTACAATAACAACATAATTCGTAAATATAAAAAAGGCCACTCAAAGCGGACAAATTTGTGAAATTTTGCTTCGCAAACACTAGCACTATATCTTGAAATTTTCTTGGTTTCCCTCTGGGATACTAATATCATGATATTTAGTATCCAAACATAAAATCTAGTGTCCCGTGGATATCGGGATACCGCCAATTTCGTGCCCTGAAGCAAACATATAATTTCATGCATGATTGATTTCTTACATACTCTTTACAAAACGTTTAAAAATGATATGCGAAAGGCTACTATGGCAAAAAAGTCCAAGTTTTAGAGGTTGCATGTTGGACTTATTGTACATCAAATTGTCTGGTACAGTACTATACTTTCAATTGATACAAAACACCTTCCAAATTTGTGCCCTATGAATTCAAACCTTCCATTTTTGTGCATAAACTGTTTAGTTTTGAAAATGGCCATGCTGCACTTGAAAATTTACTTTTCAGAAGACCTCAAACTACTACTGGTCTAAAATAACATACTAACTAACATAAAATTTTCAGTTTAGTGTCCAGACATTTTAGAACTGTGCACTTTTTTTGCCATGAAACTATACTAGTATACTGTACACGCTGATGTATAGTTTTCATAAATTTATTAGAAACAAAATAAAAAAGCCCTGTTTGGTAATTTACTATTGGAGTTTGGGGTGATTTTAGGTTGCCACTATGTTACCATGCACCCTTTTGTTCCTGGAAATACTAGCTCTTTAACCTTTTTTTTGCCTTAAATTCCATGAACAATTACTGAATTTGTTGCCTATCAATACTTTCCTGGTTGTAAAATTCTTGGCAGAGCTTTGTTACACAGTTTATATCAAATAATTTATTCAGCTACCATTGTAAGGACCCCTACTGAGAATTCCTTGCCCCATATCCCAGTGTCAGATAAAAGGCCTACAGGTACAGTATAGTTTACCCTTTCACAGAGCAGGAAAAAAGAAATTGCTTCCTGGGAGCACAACCTGGAGACAAAAATTTCCTGCAGACCAACAGAATATTTTTTGTGCTAAATCTGCATGTGCACAAACATATAGTGTTCTAGCTGACCATGGTTTTAAAAAAATTCAAGGAATAATGCCTGTCCACCATATGTTGTTACACCCATAATGGGACATGGCTGTTAAGGTTTCCTTCAAATTTTCAATCTATAGCAATCTTAAATTTTTTTTTTTATTTTTTTTTGGGCTGGTATTCCAAAGGTCGTAGGTTCGAATCCCACTGTGGCCGGGCATATTTTTCAAGCTCGCCCGGTGTGGATATGCACTCAGAGTAACATCGCAAACATACTATAGCAATCTTCATTCAAATGAATTTCCTGCAGGTGTTTAACATTTCCTGCGAGCAGTGCTTGCCTCTCTTTTCCACCCCTGCCTCTTATAAGAAATTAAATTATGGTTGCAGTTTTCATTAAGAAAATACCAGCTTGTCTGCGGGGTATGGAGAAAAAAAGTTTTGTGGAAAGCCAAACCCCATATAATAGACCCCTACTTTCAATTGTTATTATATTTTGCCTAACACAAGACAAGTTTACTCATCTGGGGGAAAGTGTTGCATGTAGGCTGAGGCGGTTTTTCGGTACCCGGTATACCGGAAAATACTGGATTACTGGTTTTTTGAAAAACCAGTTTTTCAGTTTTGCCAAAGTCCAAGCACCGAAAAACCCCGGAAAAAGACGAAGAACCGGGAAAAATGAGATAAAAATGCTAATGTTTCAGCTAATCCTAGCTGAAAACATGTAAATACATTCTTTTAACATTGTCTTCTTACTTGTATTTTTATACGTACCTCTGTAAGCTTTTGATATGAAGCATCTAAAACTAAAATTCTTCACATAATAAAAACATGTGCTACACAGTTTTATGTCTCTGTGTTATTTATATATATAGATAAAAAACTTTTTTCTGTTTTTTCCTGACGGTTTTCAGTTTCGCTTTTTTTCAAGAACCGCCCCAGGCTAGTTGCATATTAGTTAATGGCCAGTTAATCTTAATGAACAATATGGGTTGTTTTTCATTGTAGGCTGACAAAGATGTTCAAGGCATAGGTATGGTTGTTTGCCCTTTGTTAATAATAGAGAGGTTAAGATACCCCAGTTCCGGTTTACAGTACGAGTATCGCCATTTTGTTTACCAATTTTTGCTGATGTCAGCATTTTTACCCGTAATTTCTACCCGTTTCCCCGCGGTAAACCATGGTCTACACGTAAATGACAAACGGGTACGGGTGTTTTCTGTTTACTATTTGGGGGCCGTTTAAATAGTAAAAATTTTCAACAGACTTACCCAAATAAATAAAATATGCACATATGCTAGTCAAAGTTTTCAACAATTTATGGCGAACCTCAATAGCGAAAGTTGCCATTCTCTGATCGGTTTTCTCACGCCTGAGTATCTTGAATTTCTTAAGTTACAAGTTATTCACCGATTTACGGGTACGAGTACCGTACGTGTATATTACCCGTACCCGTAAAGCGGAACCGGGGTATCTTAATTAACCTCTCTAATGTGTGAGCGCTCTCCCCTTCGTGAGTAAAGTCGTCTCATTGTCTGGCATTGGACAGACGATAATGAAGGTTGCATTACGGTGCAATGTGACTCAATGGGTTAAGTTAGGTAACTGAGCACCAGCACACCCATGTCAATTATGACGTATAAAATAGTCTGGGGTTAGACACAGTTAAAAAATAGAGTAGAGTGCATTAGGATGCAACGCAACTCATGTAATGGATTAATGGATTGCAAAATTCCAGGCCTTAAAATATCTGTCTGTCACGGACATTGTCCGACCCATTCGTGAAATTGTCTGACGTAGAGAGGAAACCACCGGACATTCTGTCCGACCAAAGTGAAACTGAGGTTTATTGTTTGTCCGACCCGAGTGTATTGGTGTCCAACCGAACTGTAGCTTTGTCCGACATAAATCAAAATGTACCCTAGCCCAGGACCAGGCTTGTATGTTAAATATGGAAAATCAGAGTACTATTGTATAAAAGGTGAACTGGAAATGTTGTTTTAACGTAGTCGAGTGCGGGGCGGTGAGCGAAATGGTGAAGTGGAAAACAGGCTTAAGGTGGCTCGATACAGTTTTCAAAAATTCAAGTGTTCAACACTTTGACATGTTCAAACTACGCATTTTTAGGATTTATTCAGCAGATATTGTTTTTTTTATATATTTTGATATCTCAGCTTTCAAATTATATATTTGTTTTAGTAACAGATAGTTCGTTGCTATGACGACATACGTGTACGAAATTCACTCCAAAATGGCCTATCGTCTCGTATAGTTGGGAAAAAAGCATGATGACCCCCAATTATTTTTCGTGCATTATTTTACTTGGACGAAAAGCTAACAATTAGCAAAATATAAAAAAATTCTGTAATGCCATTTTTTTGGAAAATGTGAAAATGTCATATTCTTCGGTAAATTTTTTTTGGCATTACAGAATTTTTTTATTTTTTGTATAATGAAAGTTTTAGCGGTACAATACAGCATGCAAAATTTGAACATAGGTCACCAGACAAAATAAAGAGATATAGCGCATTGTTTTTCTAAAATGGAAAATTCTAATGACGTCAGCAATTGACATAAAACTCTATAGAACACGCACAATAGCGTGATATGGATCCACAACCGCCAAAATGCTATACTCATACGTGGAGTTGAACCATAAGATAAAGAAATATCATTAGCATTATGGTAATTGCATTTGGCACACGCAATAAGGGATCACTATATAAGGTTCGATTGACCTAACAACATGGTCTAGATAATAAGTTCCATAAAGGACGACTTGTGTGACATTTCACACAAACTGACTTAAGAGTTCTCGGGTCATTGGGGTTGAAAACACTGTCCGTTAGATCTTTATAGTGCTTGCGTAGTAATGTTTTGAATGATTCTATAGACTTAGTTGTGTCTCTAATATAACTAGGAAGAGTGTTCCACACGCTCGCGGCTCTTATATAATAACTGTTCTGGTAGTTGACAGTTCTGCACTTTCCCACATTTAGGAATGTTCCATTACTTGCACTTCTTGTTTCTCGTGTTGAAACTTTGACCGAGATATTACTGTCAGAGTCATTTATGAGACTTTTAAAGATATAAATGATGTCTAAATACTCATGCCAGTAACATAGAGGGATGATGCCAAGGATCTGCAATCTTTCTTTATACGAGATATCTGTTTGGTATGGCAGAGATAGGATGAACTTGGTGGCACGGCACTGAACACGTTCAATGGTTAGAATGTTGCTGACCGTCTGGGGTGCCCACACTTGACAACCGTACGCCAGTTGACTGCGAACCAAAGTCAGGTAGAGTGCCTTGCGGACCGATTGGTTATCAATCATGTATGCTGTTCGCTTCACGAAACCCAGCATCTTGTTGGCCTTCGACGAAATCTCCTCCACTTGCTTGTTCCATTTGAGGTCACCAGTTATAGATATGCCAAGATCTTTCTGACTGTTAGGTCGGATAACTGGGGTACCAAGCACCGTATACTGTGTGATGGTTGGTTCACGAGATCTTGTAAGATGTAGCACTCCACACTTACTTTGATGTAACTCCATTTTCCAGTCGTGACACCAGTTGGTAATGTTGTCCAAGTCGGATTGAAGGGTTACCTTATCTTGGGAATTTTTAATAGGACGGTGGCATTTGGTATCGTCAGCAAACTTTGCCATGGTAGTATCGTGTGAGACACATTTCGGGAGATCATTGATGTAAATTATGAATAGAAGTGGCCCAAGAATTGATCCCTGGGGAACACCTGATAGAACTGGAAGTGGTTTTGATGTAACACCAAGCGCAGTGACTCTCTGGAATCGCCCAGAAAGGAAGTCTTTGAACCAACGAAGAAGATTTTCTCTTATACCGAAGTTGTGAAGCTTCAAAAGCTTTGGCAAAGTCGAGATAGAAATGTCAACTTGGTTTTCTTTGCTCAAGTACGTTAAGAACTTGATGGAGAATGTGTAGCAGCTGCGATGTTGTAGATCTTCCCCTGAAAAACCGTACTGCAGTTCGTAAATTTGACCGTATACGTGTTCTATAAGTCTATTATATATACAGCGTTCAAACACTTTCAAGACTAATGACAACAGTGATATTGGTCTGTAGTTGGTTACGTCATGAATAGGGTTCCTTTTTGGAATTGGACTGATGTTGGCCAGCTTCCATTCGGACGGCAGAATTCCACAAGATAAGCTCTTTTTGAACAGCTGGCATAGAGATGAACTGATGTTAACTGCACAGTTCTTCGGCAGTAACGCTGGGATTTTGTCGGGGCCACTAGCTTTGGCTTCATCCAGTGCTTTGAGTACAACACGTACTTCCTCTTCTGTTAACAAGATGTTTGCGATGGTGGTAAGATCAGTCGTGTCGTTATCAGGAGCAACAGAAGGGGAATGGTCGTCAGTAGTATCGGAATGTTTGAACACCGAGTAGAAGTAACGGTTTAACAGGTCGACAATGTCGGCAGGGTTTTCAGCTGTGGAGGAAGTTGAATCTTGTTGGGTCCACGACATTTTACTGGGAATGTTAGAATGTTTCGAGGTAGATTTGAAGACAGACCAGAACTTTTTACTGCTCGATTTTAGCAAAGTTGGAAGTTTCTGGAAGTACTCTATTCGCTTGGTTCTTACTAATTAATGTCTTGACCGCACGTCGAAGATCACGGAATTTTCCCCAGAGATTAGCAGATGAGGAAAGTTTCGCCTTTTTTCTACACGAGTCTTTCTTTGAGAGAAGACGCCTGACTTCACCGTCAATCCATGGAGGAGAGCTACGCCGTTTGAAGGTTTTGAGTGGAATATAATCAGTCGCGGCACCAAGGAAGAGGTCTTTCCATTGCTTCCAATCATTGTTGATATCGCTCGACTCGTTGGGTGATAAATTGATGTGGTTAAGGGCGTGATATAGGCCGTTCCAGTCTGCGTGGTGGAAATCAAAAACAGTTCTCTTGTCAAAACCTGTTGATTTAATATGAAGTAAGATGTCAAAGAACATCAGGTTGTGGTCACTTGAGAGATCCATTGTTTTGGCAGAAACGCACGAGAGATTGACAATGTTTTCAGGAGCGTTCGTTAGGACGAGGTCTAGAATGTTGTTTTGTCTAGTAGGGTACATGTTGACTTGGTGGAAGAAAAAATCAAACGCAAGTTCTCTAAATTCAGATGATCCAGCCGAGATACTTCTTTCTGATTTGGTAGGCACCAGGTTGGAGTTCCAAGTTAAATCTGGGAAGTTGAAGTCACCGGTGATAAGGACTTTATCGTAGTGTGATGTTTCTTGCAGAAATGTCGTGAACGATTCGAGCCATTTGTCTAATTCACAACTAGGTGGTCGATAACAAACACACACTAGAGATTTCTTTGAATTTAACAGCTCAAGTTCGAGTGCGATGATCTCTAAACGATCCGACCAATCTGGGCAGTTTTTCCTTGAGGTTATTCTGTTGTAAACAATGTCATCACGTAGCGCTATAAGAACTCCACCTCCACGTTTGTCAGCAACCCGATCTTTCCTTATGACGTGATAACCTTTTGGTAGTATCATAAGTTGACGTGATAACCTTTTGGTAGTATATCTATATATAATATATATATTCGCTTATACAGTATATTCAGTGATCACGTCCACATTCGGTCAGCACTAATCTCCACATTAAAGTTGGCACGCAATATCACGAGATAAACAGTTACCTGTACTTATGCAGCTGATTCAATTAAGGTTGTCCTCCCAAAACCTTAAACTCTGAGCGCGCAAGGGATGATGGGTTTTCACCTATTAGGCCCTTAAACTCAGAAAATTGTCTTTGCGGCAAGTATGTTTTCTGTCGTGAGTCTTATATATGTCTTAAGTATTCTTGCAAAGCCAAATTTCAAAGTTTATAAGTCTAAATAAGCAATAACCCATCATCCCTTGCACACTCAGAGTTTAAGGTTTAAGTTTTTGGAAGGACAACCTTAATTGAATCAGCTGTATACTGTAAGGCAAAACGTCAAATACAAATAGTCAAAAATGGATCTATTGAGATGACTCGATATTGGCCAAAATGGTTTGGCCAATATCGAGCCATCTCAATAGACCCATTGCACATGACGTCACAGCGCCGGTGACGATGCATCTGGAGGACAAATTAGCAATCTATGCATAATATAACTTTTGGAAACAAAGCCAATTTTGTAAAACTTTATAATAATTTTTTATTGAAATGGTTAATTTTTGCGCTTGATGTGGTTGTTGTACCCGAACAGATATTGTTAGGGAGCATCTGGAGGACACTAAGGATTTGTGACGTCAGTGCAATGGGTCTATATAGGATTGTATATTAATTATGTCAAAGTTTGAAAGAAATGTGTGTTGCCCAAGCATGCCTATAGACGTTTACTGTGTCTAAAACACCAATGTGTTGTTCTGTTTACAGTAATAGGTTGGTGTTTACCCTCATGACATGACTTATATGTCCACAATGATTATTTATTGAGTACATGTCACAACACCGCCATGAATTTTTAATGAGTCAACCTCCCTGCGCCACCCTCAAAAGCACTATATTACTATTCCTCTCACACAAAACACTAAAAATACCTGGTTGGCTTGGTAGGAGTGCAATTTCTTTCTGGACCAACATCTTCAGTCTGGTTAGATCTTAAAATAGTGAGATAAAAAATAGATGACGTCAACTCAAATTGGAGAATACTTAGTTTAAGAGTATGCGGAAATATCAGGGTGCCGTTGGGCATCTCACTTGATATAACTGATTGTGAAAGGGTTTTGTAGATGGAAATTTTGGGTATAATTTTTATACATTTATTAAACTTAACCAGGAACAATTGCGAAAAATACAACTTTAGGCCCTCTGGTAGGAGTCGAACCTGCGGCCAGATGGCCTAGAATGTGGCTCATGTACATAACTCCAATTCTTTTCCTCTGGTAGGAATCGAAATTGCGGTCAGAGTGCCTGTAATGTGGCTCATGTATAACTCCAGTCCTCTCTCTCTCTCTCTCTCTCTCTCTCTCTCTCTCTCTCTCTCTCTCTCTCTCTCTCTCTCTCTCTCTCTCTCTCTCTCTCTCTCTCTTAAGTTTCTCCTACTTTTGTTCGCTTCTTCCTCTTCTGCATTCGTGTTTTGACTTTCCATTTTCCAAGGTCTTCACTCTTTCGTTTAAAGATTTCAAGGAAGCGAAATTATTTGCAACCAGAGCCAAAAGAACAACGACAAGCACACATAAAGCCACCAAAAGTACTTTCATAACAAATTGTGCACCATATTTGCTTCTTTGATTTTCCTTGTCCGACGGGACAAGTGTGACCGTATTTTCCTCGCTGTTTTGTAAGTTTTGAAACGGCATCATCTTATCGATAGAAAATCGTCCCTCAATTTACTGAGAGTCAACACTGTAAAATGAAAAGGAAACTCATATACATGTGCATATATATTATAGGGGTCATGCATGCATGCACGCATTCTGCGATCACGTCCTCATTCAAGTTTGCAGTATCACGAGATAAACACTTACGTAAGTACACACTTACTCTGCGGAAAAACGCCAAAAACATGTAGTCAAATATGGTTTCATACAGGCAGCTCCATTTTCCCATTGAGCTAATTACAAAAGGAAACTAAAAGTCATTTTTTCTTATCGGCTGAAGAGGGGATGCCGGCATGAGGCTCAAAATCACGATACTCGTCAAAATCATGATACTCGTCTACATAAATGTCTTTATGTACGAGATAAAACATGAGCAGCCGATCTGTATCTGATATACAAACTCGAGCCGAAGGCGAGAAAAATGACCCATCTTATGAGTTCATTGGCGAAGAATTTTAAAAATAAACATTGTCTAAGCCGAGAAAATCAAAGCTGAAGTTTATGTAAATCAGGACAAAACATTGATTAAACATTCATTTCTTTTGTATTTTCCTCGTGAATTATTAATGAATTTTTTAAAGCTTAAATTAAGTTAACTGAGTGGTTATTGTGTGCATGAGTTGCATAGGGGTTTGTAGAGGCGGCAATGATTCTTTTTCCCTCAATTTTATTGTTTGTTTGCATTCCTTAACCAGTTACACCATGGATAATAAAACACGTTATTTTACAATCCATGGTTACACTATCTAGTGTACTTTATTATCTATAAATTTCATTCTTTCTAAGCCATTTAAAGTGCCTATATATGCAACGAAATTCCATCCAACGTTTTCTTGATTACATTGCAAAGATAATTTAAAATGACTATGTAACCTCTTTGGTAGAATTTTTGTAGCTCTCTTTCTTCTTGACATATTCAATATATATATATTGCTTATACATATTCAGTGTCACGCCCAGTCGCCCACGGCACACTTTATTCTGTGATCACGTCCACATTCAAGTTGCCACGCAATCACGAGATAAACCCTTTCCTGTACTTATGTATACTCTAAGGCAAAATGTCAAATTTATAAAATGTTTTCATTTTCGCTCACGTACTGAAGTATACGACAGGTAAAAATGGTTTTGGGGGGCCAAATCACAATGAATAATGAGTTTTTAGAACAATGTTTATTTTGTGGCATAACGATAAAAATATCTAAAATAGCACTTGTATGTAAACCAAGTTTACTGATTATGCTTCCGTATTTGTATGCAGAATTCGTTGACTAATTTTGACACTAATGACGCTTATTTAAGAATGTCGTTATGCAGTGTGATGTCATAAGGGTGATATTTACATATCAAACAAAGTTGAATATCTCAAGAAGAAGAGAGCTACAAAAACTCTACCAAAGAGGTTACATAGTCATTTTAAATTATCTTTGCAATGCAATCAAGAAAACGTTCGGTGAAATTTCGTTGCATAGGCACTTTAAGCCTCTAAATTACTTGTGTGTATTAATAATGTTAAATGATTAATGATTACAAAATTACGGAGTTACTGTTTTGTATTTGTTTTTGTATTTTATAAAAATACTCAGTGGTTCCCGTAACTAGTTATCAATTGATGGACTGCCTTTATAAAAACCCAGTAAATTACTTTCAAACAATACATTATCATAAAGAATAAAATTTATTTGAAGAGTTAATACTACAAGCATGTATTTAGCATTAATAGGAAGATAATGACAAACGTGCTCAATGATCAAGCCGTCAATCGGTCACGGACATTGCCCACCCATTCGTGAAATTGTCCGACGTAGAGAGGAAACCACTGGACATTCTGTCCGACCTAAGTGAAACTGAGGTTTATTGTGAATTGGTGTCCAACCTAACTGTAACTTAATTGTCCGACGTAAACGAAAATGTACCCTAGTCCAGGACTAGAAGCTCGTATGTTAAATGAAGAATCAGAGTAATGTATAAAAAGTGAACTGGAAATGTGTAATCAAGTGCGGGGTTTTCATCGTGGGGTTCGGAAATTCATTGCCAAGATTCAAATGATTTTTCCAAATTGTGCTGATATTAATTTGTGTCTGCATTCATTACTTACTTCCGAACCAAACTGAAAAGACGAACTTAAAAGTTCAGTTTGGTTCGGAAGTAAGTAATGAATGCAGACACAAATTAATTATTTATTAATTAATTATTTATTAATTATTTATTGACTTTAAAAAGTCATCAGACATCACAAGACATATGTGCTACCCAAACTCAAAGTCATCTAAAATTTTGTGAGACGGTTCTCTGACTAATATTTTAAGGCCTGATGATATCTGTTGAGGATATATTTACAGTGTGCATACTGCACATGTCAGCTCTTGACCATCAATGTATGGCGTACAAGGTAGAGAGCCGATACAAATTCCTTCAACAAAATAAAACAAAACACCGTTTCTATTAGCATGGGTTTCACTTGAGTAATCAGGATTTTCATCCATGCACGCATACGTTGTACGATAGAAATTATAGTGTTCGGCCATCAGGTAACCTTTGTATTCACGTGTCCATCCCGTGGGACACACGTTACGACCTGGTATCATAATTTGTGAGGTGCGTTTGGTCACGTAACACACGGCACATGGGACATCGTGATTGTGCACGCTTTTGGGGAATATACCAGGTGCAGCACCAGATTCGTATTCAGCTCCATATATTCGGGAACTATATTTTTGTCGACCCGATGTAGTATTTTCATAGATGGGATCACGTGACAGACACACATAATTAGCACCCCCACCTGAGTTAAGATAATGAGATCCTCCAACGTAACCTATAAAACAATAAAAAGTTTCATGAGTAATGTACTAATGTTTGGCTATCTAGCGCCTTGTTGGCAAATAAGCTCTGGGATTTTGGGTATTAAGAGGCAATTTTTTTCAATGTCACGTATTTGCAATGAAAAGTGTTCAAAACCTAAAATCTTTTTGGCGTTCCTCTCAAAATTACTTTGTTTTAGCCTTATTCTCTAGTTTATAGAGTTAGCTACCTTTTTAAATGCATCTGCCGGTTGAGAAACATAAAATAATAGTTAAAAATTGTCAATTAAAATACAATTATCAATGATGCTTTGAAATTGGCGCCATATTTACAGCCATATAAGCAAAACTTACTGAACTTCAGACATCATTTTCTCTTTGGCGTATCGTCTAAAATCTGTTCATTTTGGCATTATTTTACAGATAAAGCACTAAACATACTTTTTAAGTTTGTTTGCCGATTGAGAAACGTATCGAAAAATAAAAATTTTGAATTTAGTCATAACCTCAAGTGATATATTATATACGCATTAGTTTTGAGCGCGACTTACGCGACATGCAAAAAAATCTCCTTTTAAACTTTTTTGGGATCATTCTATTAAGCTTGACTTGTTCACCAATGTTACATATACAACAAGACTATACTTCAGGTTTACCTTCAACGTATTGCCACGAATACTTGGATCTAACTGTGCTATATACAAGATCATCAACAACTACAGGATTTTTAAAAAAACTGAACAGATTTGAATTTGCTCTCAATTTCGCAAAACAGCTATTAGTATCCAGTTTTTGATGTATATAGCTTCTTTGGGTACTTATAATGTAGAACAATGAAAAAAATTCTCGAACTCAAATTTTGTGAACCAGGAGGGGGGTTGTCTATAGAGGAGATTAATCACTTCTTCTTCTGTTGTTTGAACTATAGACAACGTTTTATCGGTGTGATTAGGATAATAATCTAGGACTGGTAGTTCACGTTTCGACTAGTTTCTAGTCATCCTCAGGATTAAGAAATTGTATTTTCTGCATATTTTGAAAACACTATTCTCCAAAGAGTAGTTGTTTCCCCTTGCAAAAAAGACGAATTGATTGCAAGAAACATGATACAAATCAAACAATTCTGTTGTTTAATACCTTCATACACCAATGTCGTTCCAGTAATATTAGGACAGGTCGTTTTCCCCCACCGGATGTAAGTCACCCCAACATTTGCACAAGATTCCTTGGCAGAAGATTCCTTGGGATCTTGAGGTAAACCTGTCAGGATATCAATATAGCAGACAGTAAGTGCTACAAAGCAGTTTCCTCGTACACCATTTACATATTGAATTAGACTTACACCCGTATTCTAAAAGCTCACTCACACTCAATGAGTGGAGGTTCAATCTGAGCTTCCCTTGAGTGTCAATGCTGGTTTTGAATAGCTGGAGGGTTAGTGTCGTACCTTACTATGTGACTACTCGCCCTCCAGCTATTCAAA